AAAAATATCTCCCCCCCCCCCCCCCCTTTATTTAGATGTGTTCCAAAAAACAGAAAACCTCAATATAGTAAATGCAAAATGAAGTGTTTCATAATTTTCTGATCATTTTCATCCCCTATTTTGTAATATAAAAAAGGAAATAATTATTGCTGCATTCATTAGCGCATCTCACAAAATGAAGAAAAACTGCTCAGCGAGAGCCGTTAGTAATCATTACAGCAGCCCCTCAGTAAGCTAAGGAAGCGCAGCTCTGGATACCTGTTGGCTGGAGAGTGCTGTGTTTTCCTCTGAGAGGCCTCGTCACTCTCTCCACACTTCTGCTGTCACTCTCTTTGTGATGGAGCATTACTCTCAGCTTCCTCTAGCTGACCGCTGACCGCAGGAGCTCAGGCCAGTCTAGTGCACCGATCACCTTACAGCATCAGACGGACACAAACCTTGCTCTGTCTGTCTGATTAATGCATAGAAGTGCATCAATACAGCTTGATGTCAGGGCTATTAACATGAACTAAAACTAAAGCTAATAAAACATTTTTGTTCACTGAAAGCGAGCTGAAATCAAATGAAATATTGATCAGATTAAACAATGATTAGAAATGTTGACTTGGCAACTAAATGAAATAAGCTAAATAAAGATAATATGCAAAAATAAATAAGTATAAATAAAGACTAAAGCTACAACTGAAATAAATTGAATAGTAAGATTTAAAAAATGACAAAAAGTTATTTTCTTTGTTTGTGTGTGTGTGTGTATAATATATCTATCTATCTATCTATCTATCTATCTATCTATCTATCTATCTATCTATACCTTCCTACACTGCGTTAGGCTAACCGAGACTTGTCATTTGCACTTATATATTGTTGCTCTTTTGTTAGTTTTGACTGCTTTTATTGTCCTCGTTTGGATAAAAGCGTCTGCTAAATGACTAAATGTAAATGTAAATCTCAGTTGTCTCCCCGAGATAGCAATATAAGATTGAATGGAGAACAAATGAAGATGTTTAATTGTGCCTCATTCTCAGGTTTCTCACACTGGACAAAGACACCTGTAATCTCAAATGTGTCTCCTCTAGAGTTTCAGAAGAAACAAATGAGTTCAACTAATTTGCTTCCAGGGAAAATGGTTAACATCATGACAGAACTTTAACTTTGTTTTCAATGGGTGTAATGAGTTTAAAGAAATCTCCTAATGTTCAGGCAATCAGATCTATAATGAATTTCATTTAATGCTGGGGAGCTATTATTTGAGAATCTGATAAGACTTTCAAGATTTTTAGTTTTTTTGTGAGGGAGAACATTGTAATGATCTCACTTACTTTGATTTCAAACAAACCATCTCATTTGATTTCTTTTCATATAAACCACGGCCAAAACACCACTGGCAAGACACATAGAAAAATACAATTAGAAAAGCACAGACAAAACATCTCCAATGTAATCTCGGGCATCACGCTGGGTTTTTAAATGTTTGTTTTGCAGGCACAACTTTCCTGCTAATTAGTTTTGCTTTCCTTCACATTGTGCATTTGTGGGATATCTCCCGCGTTCACCGTCGAAATGAACTGACGTCGTAGTACTTTCTTTGGAAAGCTCAGCTTTCAGAGTTTATTTTCTTGACCTCTGAGAGTTCAAAGGCTCCTTGGGATCATTTTTATATGAGATGAATGTCTTCCACTCGGAGCGAGTGACGGAGCTCCGCTAGAGCCTCCGTGCTTCACTCGATGATTTAGCGTTGAGAGCGGGCCGCTCAAACACCCGCTCTTCACGTTGCCGTCGCATTTTAACGCCTCATTAGGGGGCGATGGGGAGGCTGCAGGTCAGCAGGCCGCTCAGAGACCGGGAGCTGGACGGGACGGGATGGCCGCGACCCATCGCCCCTGCCCCGTCAACCCCCAGCCATCAGGTCAACAGTTGGTCCCCAGAGCCAAAGTGGCTGGGCTTTCTGCCAGTGTCAAGAGGCTCTGTCTGAGATCGTCCCAGGGTAATTAAGCAGGTCAATACAGACAAATAAATCATACTGATAGTCCAAACACTGTTGCTGAATGCCTCCGATTGAGCAAAAACAAGGAGCCGCCCCATGCTTGTTACCGCTTAGCTTGAGGCCCAGCGGCGCGCTTCACATTACTTCCACAGAAAAAACAGCGAGTGGGAAAGCATTGTGCTACATCAAAAGCTGAGCAAAGAGACATGGGCTTTAATTGTTCCGCTTTAGTTTTAAGATAAAGGCAGAATGGGCATCAATTTAGCCTCTCTTTGTTGGTAAACAAAGCCGATTATGCTGACAGAATGCCGATTGTTCTAAAAGTTGTGTAAAGGATGATGAAAGTTATCCGTTTAACGCTTTTGATCAGGCTGCAAACGCCTGCGCACACGCTTGATCAAAATATACATAATCCAACAGAGGACTGCCAAGACAAGTAGCCTACATAGTTGTGGCAAGGGCAAAATAAATCATTAAAAAAAGCAAATATGCCAATTATCAATTGTTAAACTTGCTTGAAAGGCCTAAACAACTCGTAATGCCACACTTTGTGTAGTCCAGACCAATACGACTTCAAAAAAAGCTTTTGTTTAATAGTCCTGTCATTACCGTAATGCAAAACAAATTCATTCTCCTTACCGTAATGCCTCTTTAACGTGTGTATTTATCAACCTGATCTCATGAGAGGAGGTAACGATTTCTTAGGAATTCATACCGAAACGTAAGATGTTTAGAAAAACGCAAGCCTATCGTGTGAAATCATACCACACTTTGTTGCATTCCTGTTCCACTTGTACATCGCATGTACCTATTATAGTGATTACAATAACTGGGTTATACTACCATGTAGTTACCTTATAGTACAGTACTTTCTTAGTTAAGTACACTGTAAGCACAAGTACTGTAAACTAAAGTGCAACCCAAATGAAATTATACTTCAAACAGTTACAAATTGCCATGACAGTGTGTCGATACACATACATCAGCAGAAATTACAATAAATATTAGCATGTATAAATATTGTACTGCTTAAACGTTACATCATTATTTTTTGTTTTTCCATTAAAATAGCTATGCATGCTTTTCTGTTGATTTAATTCAGAGTCTAGAAGAAAAACGTGCATTCCATAACTAATCACAACGTGTATTTTTATAATGAATATTAATATATGGATACTTCATTGATGTGAATCTTTAACTGCATCACAGTTTCATAGTGCCATTCCAGTAATAGACTCTAGTTTAGTGCAGGAGTCTCTTAAATAGTCATAGACATAATAGACATATTGCATACTATATTAATAGCAGTGAATATAAGGACAACTTTCGTGCACAAAAAAAATTCTGCTCAAGGGCTGAAGAACAAAAGAAAGCTCTACTTAAGTTTAATGTTCCTCTTGATTCCCCATTGGCTGAAAGGCAGATAGCGAGAGATGGGAAGCGATGGAAGACCTTATACCATGTC